TACTCTAAATGTGATGACACAATTTATTGTAATGGTGGTGCTGCTATTGTGGAGACGTGGCATACGCTTCTTGATAGAAGAGTCAAAGATTCATGAGATGTAATTCCAGATATCACAGTCATACAGTGTCATTAGATAAACCATTGCCACTCAGAGAATGTGAGTAAAATAGCTTGTCTTGTACAGGGAATTCTATTCATTTATAGTGTTAAACTCTTTCATATTTCTTTTCCTGGGAGCTATTCTCTCAAACATTTGTATTCTGATTAATTTCTTACTATGCCAGTAGGGATTTTCACTATATACACTATGTAAATAACATGCAGTATTTGGCAAAGTGGTTGTCAGGGATAGCTATTTTCCTTGAGGCATGTCATTTTAAATCTATGCTTAAGTTTCTGACGTTCATGAGATATGTGTCAACGTGGCGGCATTTACTGTGGGGGTAGAAAGGAGGAGAGTCTAGCTTTTACTTACAATAAGAGGATTCCAATTAAGGATATTTGGGGCAAAATAAGAAATGAGGATATGGAAAAATAGGTTTTGGACTGATACTTTCATGTGAGGGAAATAATAGATGTAGCTTGAGAAATAATACCTCTTACTGATGTTTGAGTATGTTGAAAGTGGCTACTTTTCAAAATCAGTATTATTTTTTATTATCATAGTAATAGATAACAAATTCTTTGGTATTATAGATAGCATTTTAAAAGTTTAGGTTGCAATCTAAAATGAAATGTTCCAGGAAAATTTTGTGTTCAGTTTATCAAATATATTTCCATTAACAAGTTGAAGTGACCGGCCGTGATGTAAATATTTTTATTACATTTGTGACAATAAAATTCAAATTTTCATTCCCAATAGTCTAAATTTGGCTATTAATAAAAATCTAGCCAATGATAGCTCTAAAAAGTAGGCTATTAGTTTTTTTGTTGTTTTGGGGGGCTGTTTTTTTCCAAACAGGGTCTTGCTATGTTGTCCACACTGGAGAACAGTTGCTATTCGCAGGTACACTATAGCCCTCAAGAATCTTCCCTTGCTTCTGCCTCCTGAGTAGGTGGGACTACAGGTGTGCACCACTGCACCTAGCCTCAGAACTTTGGGAAGCTGAGACAGGAGGATTTCTTGAGGCCAAGAGTTCGAGATCCGCCTGAACAACATAGCAAGACCTTATCTCTACAAAAAATAAAAATAAAAAAATTAGCCAGGTGTGGTGGCATGCACCTTTAGTCTCAGCTACTCAGAAGGCTGAGGCGGCAGGAACCCTTGAACCCAGGAGTTTGAGGTTGCAGTGAGCTATGATTATGTCACTGTACTGCAGCCTGGGCAACATTGAGACCCTGTCTCTAAAAAAAGCAACCAAACAAAAACCAACAAACAATACACCAAAATAGGACAGCCAAAACACAACGATACCAGAGTATATGAATGCTGTTAATATGACATTTGCCAGGGTTTTGACTATTATGTTCTATTAATGATATAGAAAGCAAGTGGCTCTGCTGAATATGGCTATCAATGATAAGAGAAGTAGATAGATACTGATTCATTTCTACATGAAGAACTGAAGTTAAATTATTTAGCTCTAAGTATAGTGCCATGTCTACCAAACATTCCAAATTAACTTTTAATATTTGAAAATAGAAAATAGGTAGATGATGGCCAAATCGAGCAAAACTGTGGAAACAAAGAGTGACTATTAAAACTAAAACTATAGCCTGGCCTTTCTTTTCTTAATCAATTTTTAACACCCCCAGATATAAATCAGGGGCCT